CACAGTACTGCTTTAATGAAGTAAGCTTCTAAACTGGATTTGAAGTGGATCCTGTGGGATTTACTTTTTCATTGCACAGAGATTGGATCAGAAAACATGTAATAGGCCTCCCAATGCTGACCCTCCACACTGATGAACTAATCTGAAGAGAGAATTTCATCATTCTTTAACTTATGCTAGGGAGACTTTAAACAAAATCATATTTTTGGCAGTCTGTTCAACTTATGAACATACTTTAGAAGCATTTTCATAAATATGAAATGATAAATGCTATTTATTTCTTTTAAAGATTTTATTTATTTATTTCACAGAGAGAGACAGCGAGAGAGGGAACACAAGCAGGGGGAGTGGGAGTGGGAGAGGGAGAAGCAGGCTTCCCACTGAGCAGGGAGCCCGATGCGGGGCTCGATCCCAGGACCCTGGGATCACGACCTGAGCCGAAGGCAGACGCTTAATGACTGAGCCACTCAGGTGCCCCGATAAATGCTATTTAAACACCAGTAGTCATTCAGATTGTTTTCAGAACACCTCCTTATAATCTGGCTGGTATTGGGGACAGTATTACACCTTTCTTATTGCTATGTAGTATGAGATGGTTTTCAAGATGTCTTTTTTAAATCTTGGAGAATATTATTTGGTTAGTAATATATATACTTCTATATTATAATAACAAGGTTACAAAATTGTCATGTTTTTTAAAACAAAATTTTTAAGTTAAATCCCTATTATGGGAAAGGCATTTTCAAAAATATTTAGTTCTGTGGCTTGACTTCTACTTGGGCTAGGTCATTGGGGAGCTCTTAAAAATCCAGAGAGTTTCTGCAACCAAGAGGGTTGGAGGAGAGTCCCTCACTGCACAGAATCTTGACACCCCAGACTCTTTTCTCGGAAAAAGAAGCCAGAAGCTCATTAGTAATCACATCCTGCCTCTAGGCAGTTGAGGCTAACTCTTGGCTTTGTAAAGTCTTCCTCTGCCTGTTGCTGCTACCACCCAGCAGCAGCCCTTGGCTCTCTCTGGCAGAGGTAGCAATTCTCTGAAGTTGTCAGAGGAAGCCAGATGATAGCAGTTTCTGTACTGGTAGGATCCAGTGTTAGAATCAGTTGCTATATTAGGCTGTTGTCTTTGCAAGGACAGAAAAGTAAATATTAGGAATAAGGGAGAGAGGGACAAGCCTGAAAATGAGGATGTTTATGAATCTGTGTGTTAGAACATTTGGAATATATTCAAGGAGAAAAGAACCAAATAGTAAATGTAGCCTCTTTTTTTTTTCTAGAGACTTATTTTTTGGTTTGAGAGAGAGAGAGAGAGAAAGCAGAAACGAGAGGGGCAGAAGGAGAGGGGGAGAGAGAGAGAGAGAGAATCCCAATGCTGAGTACAGAGCCCAATATGGGGCTCGATCCCAGGACTCTGAGATTGAAATCAAGAGTCAGATACTCAACTGACTGAGCCACCCAGGCCTCCCTAAATGTAGCTTCTTAAAGATAATCCTGAAATACTTTGCTTAGAAATAGATTAAAATAAAACATTCTTTACCAAGAGAATTTGACTTAAAAGATTGTTGGAAGTCCATCATCAAATTAGTAGCTACAATTTCACAAACATGTATAATACTTGTTAGAATTGTTCAGATTTCCTTCCTCCCTTCCTCCCTTTCTTTTTTCTTTCTTTCTTTCTTTCTTTCTTTCTTTCTTTCTTTCTTTCTTT